TATGTTGTGAAAGATAAAGTCCGGGATCAAGTCATAAGTCTTGAGCATATAAGAACGAGAAAGGATGCTCATGGATCCGCTTACAAAAGACTTACCACCCAACATGTTCAGAGGACATGGTGTTGGAGAGAACATGTAGCTAGCTTGGGTTTAAGTGAAAGCCTAAAATTTACGGACAAAAGAAGGCCCAAAGATAAGTATCTATTTCGAGCGAGTAGTGAGTTGTAGGCTGTTAAGTCTATCGGCAATGGACCGTGACGATGAGACATGCTCTATGAGCTAATCTGTAATGGAATGAACAAAAGTAAATGATATGAAAGTGAAAGATGGAATGAGATCAAGGGGGAGAATGTTAGTTGATCTCCACCAATAGGCCCAACGGCCTATTGGGCTCTTGCCTCTGCTCCCTGATCGGGGGAGCCCAACCCTAACTGGTTGGTGGACCCCTAGCGCACATCACATACAAATAGAGAAGGTGGGGATCGGGGCTCGTACGACGAGGTTCAACGGAGCCGCCACTCCCACCTACAGTAATCCTAAACCGATCTAAAGACCGTGCTGCCAGCGACAGGATGTGCCCCAACCACCGCCGTCGCACCTATGCAGGGTCACCACAGCGCCACTGGATCTACACCGGGCCACTGGTGATCGTCTCCGCGGCGCTGGACGCCTTCCACACCGACGGCATCGGTGTCAACACTGCTGATGCGCTGAACAGAGAAGGTGAGGAGCCTTCCCACCTCTACAGGTTACACAGATGAACGAATCTATGTTTCTAACACAAGACCCTTGCGTCGCGTCTCGCCGGAGCGCAGTTTGTCTTTCTGCTTCCGTAGGATGTGGGTCGTGGCTCTGAGGGCACGTCTAGTGAAGTGCAACAAGGGAGCTAATAATACGATACGGCTCAACACAAGAGTGCCAAAGTCATGGACGGATGCGAAAGGAGTTTTGAACAGTTTCAGTGATTTGCTTCTTCTCTGTGCGAATGCTGATCAATGCACTGATGAAAATGACATGGGCAAGTGGCAGCATTTAGGTGCCGTACGTGTATATTCGCCTTTTTCTTAGAAAAAGAAAAAAAAAAGTATGGTGTACACTCATCGAAAGTGCCCACAAACACATGGACAATTCCGAGTCCTCTATTCAAAGAAGCGAGAGGACTAGCTCGGCGCGACAACGCCACACTCCCCCTAACATCTGGGTGATCTCGTCTAACTTGCTGAAAAACAACACCTTTGCTAGGCACTCAAGAAGAAGTTATGTCCATCGACGCGTGCGAAGCGCGAGACCATTTCAACAATGCGTGGAAAATTTGTCGTGTGATTATGGCGGACATGGCATTATGGGGGCCTTTCAAAGAAGCGGAGGAGATTAGCTCGATCTTGCCGCCACACTCCCTAACATCCGGGTAATCTGTCCAACTTTACGAAAAAAAACACACGTTTGCTAGGCACTCAACAAGTTAAGTCTCTCGGAACGTGCCGAGCGCAGACCATTTCGACAATGCGTGGAAAATTTGTCGGACAAATTGGGCCATCGCAGGCCCTCAGCCCTCAGCCCTACGAGTAGCATCTAGCGAGCTGTTTGGTTTCTCGTACAGTAACGTAAACGTAAACAATATCAGTCGCCAGCTAGTTCAAATTTATTCCCGCAGGTAACAATATATATCAGTCGCTAACTAGTTCAACTATATGGCCATAGCGGGTGGTGCATAAGTGAAACTGTTGACGCTTAATTAGGTTAGCACACCGATAAGGAGCTAGATCGCTCGATGTAGGGCTTAGCCGATTTTTGGTTAGCCGGCGCCAAGGGTATGTCCGCACCCGGACCTTGTGCCTCTAGCCATGAGCGCGATACGCAAGACACGTCACTGGAAGAGCCTCGCCGGGAGCGTGATTCGCAAGACACACCGGCGAGGTCTCTTGAGACCCAAAACTCCACACGCCAGGGAGGGACCCCGTCGGGGTGTGCAGCGGCTATGGGCTGCTCTAACCGGCCTAACCGCTCTACAGCGTCGTCGTCGTCGTCGTCGATCCTCCAGTCATGCAACACCGACGAAGAACGAGGAGAAGAGGTAAATAGGTGAAGAGGATAGAGAGAGTAGTAGATGTGTTTTTGATGATTGAGTGTTGAATCATTCAATCGGCCGTGATCCTCTCATATATAAAGAGGAGGTGGTCTTATCCTAATAGAAAACAACTCCAGATCGTAATCTCTAAATTTCCTATGCGAAAATACATCCAAATCCCGACCAAAATAAAGTTTGAATTGGACTCGTCCAGGCAACTAGGCTGGTTTTCACGGGCCTGGGCAGCCACAGGGGCAGGCAAACTGGCCTAGCTGGTTTACAAACCGGCCTAACTGGTTCAAACTGGCCTGGCCGGTTCTGCTGCAGTTTGGTGTCGAAAGTCTTCCAAAAATTATAATTAATTCATCCGGATTCTAAACGAGGCAAACCATATATGTTTTTCGATCAGCTCGACAAGAGGAACGCAATGGTGCAATCAAATCATGCATTTGAGGAACTTGTTGGGAACCGGCCTGGCTAGTTCCAGCAGGTTCGGCACCTCCGAAACGATATTTCTTCATCCAGGCTTCAAATGGGATGATCCAAATATGTTTGCTGACCGTCTCGACAATAGAAACATGATGGCGGAATCCATTATATGCTTTGCCGCTTTTGATTGTCAACAGAAAACAAAGAGTGACAAACCGCTATTAAGAGGATATCAATTATCTTATGCATACTGGGACAATACGACTTTACCACTTAAAGCCTTAATCTTTATCACTTCGAATGAAATATATCATAGTAGACCAGTAGCCTTTTGTTTCAAAACAAATATCACAATAGTAGACCAGCTGCCCCTTCCAAGGACGAGGCATGTAATATCTGTTGTTGTTTTTCTCTTTTTCTTCTACTAGGTAAATACCCGTACGTTGCAACGAAAACACATAATACCACGATAATATATGTATGAGCGTATGTTATACTGTTATCTAAAATAGATACCGTAATCATAATGTTCCAATCAATATTACATAAGTCTTCATGAAAGATAGATAGTTAAAATATAATTCTAAATTTGAATGCAAAACTAAAACATCAACTTCAATTATCGCATCACTTCATGCCTACGATACGCGAAAGATAAGCTTGCACTTATTTATGAATCAAGTGCTACGGAAAGATAATCATAACAAGTTTGTGTTTCACAATACATTTTTTTAGAATCTATAGCAAATGCCCGTGCGTTGCTACGAGTTTCAAAATTACATGACCCTATGTATTTTCCAGTAACACATGAAAGAAATATCTTGTATGCACCATGGTTTTGACTGAGTACATGCATGTTTAACTGAAACACTTTGTACGGTCAAAGGTCTTGCAATAACATCTTGTAATTCACTTTATTACTAAGCACCTCCTTAGAAGCCAATGATTAAAAGTCTACCATCAACACCTAAATCATTTAGATTGCAGTGGAGATATGACCTTTGTGAACTACAAACTTTTTAGATCCACCTTCAAACTAATACAATATGAGACAATCTAAGATGCACTCCCATAAACATACATGGACCATGGTCAATTAACTTAAGATGGGATCCTTTATCTAGGCCAAGATCAATATACTAAAAATAATGCAAAACCTTTTCTTGATTTGTAGCAATTTATATTTGGAACATGCTCGTTCAGCCTGTCTTCTTATTTCCATCAGCTTTTTATTTGCACACTGCAGCCAGCAAAGGACAGATATTGCAGGGTATCACTCAGACTTTCTTTAAATGGGTTCTAAGACCAATGACACCCGAAATGGAACCATCCTACAATGAAGAAACACTTCATGAGACACTAAGGACAGGAAAGGGCTTGAAAAAAGTACACGATCATTTTCTAGTTCAAAGCTCATGGTTCCAACCTAGAACATGCTTCCTGTCAACTGTAACATTCAGCTCAGCATTTTCTTCTAAGGTAGCAAATTAAAAGAACATATTCCTCCCACCATTTACTCGACTACAGGCAGCTCAAGTACTAAGATGAATATCACAAGCATTTTCTGAATATTATCAACGAAAAAGTTTCTTAATAAAAGAACATAGGCAAACAATTATCCCGGATTGGTCAGATCATCAGTGTTAGCAATCAGTGTCCTAGCGCTACCTTCACCAGATCAAATTGTTGTGCATTGAGTGATATTTTGTTTAAAAGCAAGGTAAATAGATAGCCATATTCACCTGATAAAATTGTTGCTCGTTCCATTATATGAGACGACAACGTTTTGACCTCCGCCTGCTGAAATTGGCATACTGTTAATAAAGCAAGAACTGAAGCTGCCGAAATTAAAATAACTTACCTGCACATACTCTCCCTTATGGAAAAAAGTTATAAAAAAGGGCATCTGTATCTGTAACTACATGCTCATACATGGCTTGGATTTCTGAGGATGAGGTTTAGAGCATTCAGCTATATTAACATTTAGCAAACAAGCACATATTTACCATTAGCATTGTTGAGAGATACGCTCAATAAGAACTAAAAGCTCCTGCAGTGCATGGTAGTGGATATCCAGTGAAATAGAGGAATCATTTAAGTTAGCAATAGCAATCTTCATCAACTCAGCAGGGGATGACATCTTTAACTTCTCCATCAGTTCTTGCAAGGCAGGCAACAACTAAAAAATTGTTTTTACATCTTCCACACAGAACCATTGAAATAGTATTGGCCAACACAGAACAAATACTAACTCCTGAATTGGTTGTCTAGAGTTATATCTCCTACAGTCAGTACCACTGCTAGGTGGTCATAGCAAATCTGTGAAACATATATACAGATCTACAGATGGCTTTGATATGTGCATCAGTGAACCGTTCGTGAAACCGTTTCATCAGATCAAGCTAGCATGCTTATACCGGTAAGCCTCTATCTATCTCATAAAGCCTTATGCTGGGTAGATGTCTCTTCCGGTGACTGAACAAATTTACAGTTGATTTAAGACATGTATACAGCTAAAGCCTATCTATCTAGCATGCTTATACCGGTAAGCCTCTATCTATCTCACAACCCTGCAGAGATTTGCCACTGGCTAAAGATGATTTTTGTTCTCTTCACTGTAATTCTAAATTCTCTCATATCTAGATTTCCGTCACAACTTTTAGTTGTAGTTTCCCTCACTACTTTGAGTTGTAGTTAATGCTTATTTGTTCTCTTTCTCCGTGTGTTCATTTGCAGCCAATTGAAAAAACTGTAGATGCGATAGAGAAAACTGACTTTTCATCTTCATCCATACTGGTACGGAAGGGAAGGAGGCAAGCGGGTTACCTCTACCTCGGCGGCTGCAAGTGGAGGCAGTCTCCCCCTTGGCGGCAGACGCAGCAGCCTGGTGCCTCCGCGGACAGGGCGTTGCAGGGACAGGGGTTACGTCGACGACGGATGCGTCAGCAATAGGGGCGGGGTGGTCTGCCGCGGCTGCGTGACGAGACCAGCACGGGCGGTGTCGACCTCGGACAGGTAGGGGCCGTGCGGCGGCGACCGGACGCCTCCGTAGATGGGGCGGTATGCGGTGGCGGCGTGACGGTACCGGTGCGGGCGTCGTCTTCGGCGGCGTAGGGGACGGAGTCGTCTTCCGGTCCGGTACGGAAGGGAGGACGGAGAGGAATAGGCGGAGAAGGGCAGGAGCGGGTGGTGCGTGAGGTCGGGTGCGAGGGATCTGTTGATGTCGGCTCGAGCACGAGGGCTATCGACGACGGCGTGTGGGCGAGGGCTGGCGACAGCGACGCGTGGACATCGGGTGGCAGGCGGCGGCATCGGGAGCAGGTCAGGGCGGCGGCGGACTGCATCGGTCGGCGGCGCTGCGTGGGAGGGGTTGGGCCGGCTGCGGAGCGGGCGTGATTGGGGGCGGCGCGGCAAGGCGCGGTCATTCGAGCGAGAGAGCGAGCGGAAGGTTTTGCTTGCCACGAAGAGAGCAGGGCGAGCGATGATTTGTTTTGCATTATTCCTTGCCGTCTTAAAAAAAAACCTCTGCCATAGAGATACCTACACAAGTTTAATGTCAAATTCCACTTGAAGGTTACCGTTTCATAGAGTTGGTAACCGTTGTAAGATTTTTGAATTTACAACGCTTATCTCCTTCATCTTTAGCACTTCACTATAAACTTTTGTTTTGGTACCACTAATCATGCTCGTGCTTTTTTTGCATTCAAACTGTAAGCTGGATCGTCGCTGCAAAAGAATGAAAAAATTTGTTATATCAACATTGTTGTAAACGATACTGAATAATTGCTGAAATATATATGTATCTCAAATAATATCTTACAATATTTGACTGAAGTTTTGCCTTGGTGGCATGTCTAGTTCAACTGAACCTCTCTCAAACATTTCCAAGACCTTTTCCTATGGTAGGGCGGTGCATTGGTAATATTTGGATGCACCACAGGCCAATCACACTCATTTTTCTGGCGATTCCTTTGTTTTCACGTGTAACTTCACATGCCTGTAATCCATCGCCTCGACCAAAGTGGTCATAAATCCAATGTGGAAAATACATTTCACTTGACTCTTGAGCCATTGATTTAACATTTTTTCTGCCTCCAACCATCTCTAGCAACATCATTCCATAACTATAAACATCTGATTTTGCTGAAACAACTCCGAAGGTTCGAGAATGCACTTCAGGAGCTATAAACCCAGGTGTTCCTCTAGCACTGGTCATAGAAAGTTTGCTCTCCTTGGTATGGCACAACTTGGCCAAACCAAAATCAGCAATCTTTGGGTGAAAGTTCTGATCCAGAAGGATATTTTGAGGCTTGATATCGAAATGCACTATGCGTGTATTACAACTATGGTGCAAGTATTCCAACCCTCGAGCGATCCCAATTGCTATGGTATAGAGCTTATACCATCCTAAAATTGCTTTGGGATTCTCGGAGTATATATACTTATCCAAAGAACCATTTGGCATATACTCATATATGAGGGCCCTCTTTGAGCCTTCCAAACAAAACCCAAATAAGCTAACAATATTAATGTGAGATGTCCTGCCAATACTAATAACCCCATTCACAAACTCCTCACAGTCACCTTTGGAGTCATGCAGGAACTTCACTGCAACTAGACGACGATCATCTAGCCTTCCTTTGAAAACCATGCCATAACCACCTTCCCCAAGCTTATTATTAAGGGAAGATGTTATCTTTGTTACTTCGGAGTACTTGTCTCGTTTTGGAGCTAGTGACCCATGTAATAATATTAGGGCCTCGATGTTCTCTTCTGTGGTGCTGCTAGTCTTTTTGCATAGGAAAAACCTTAGTTTTTGCTTATGACATACCAACACATATATACATGGTAGGAGCAAGCTTGCAGCTACTGAAATCGAAACTGAAATTATAGTAGATGTTATTTTCTTCTCACAAAACAATGAGGTGTTAAATATGAGCATTCAGATTTAGAGGCCATAAACAGTCTATATTGTAAATATGAAAATAAATTATAATGATCACATATTTTGCTCCAAATCATGTAGTTTTTGTTTAAAATTTTCATTTTTGTATCTATGTGCAAAAATATATATATGTAAGAAGTTTTATTGTAGTTCTTCGAAGGTCTTCCTGGTTCCAATATCTGAGACTAAACATTAACTTATTGCATTAAATAACTATATATAACTACTGAAATTTGGATTGTTAGATACGGTGTATGAAGTAATGTGAAAATAAGCATACCTATTTGTGCTATCTCATTCCTGCCATTCCCGTAGATACCTAAATAGCATGGAAATTAAATAAGTAGTGGTATAATGATACTACCGGAAACTGGGTGTTTGCCGAGTGCAAGAATGTTTGCTGACCGTATTATATCGGGCACTCGGCAAGTTTAAAAAAAATACTTGCAAAATAATTGCACTCGGCAAAAAACACTCAGTAAAGTTTGGCACTCGGCAAACCAGAAAAAAAACACTCGGCAAAAGCTAGACACTCGGCAAAGAACCGCCACGTGGACAACCGCTAGTCCGTGTGTCGTCCGTCAGTACGTTTGCCGAGTGTCCGTTAGTGGAAACACTCGGCAATGAAATATATTTGCCGAGTGTAATTATTTGACACTCGGCAAAGAAATATGCTTGCCGAGTGTATTTGTTTGGCACTCGGCAAAGAAACAAGTTTTTTTTCTGCTCTCCACATACAACATGTGGTACTCCATGTTAAGATTTGGTATATTTTTTGACCTGTTTACTATATTTAATTAATTTATTGTATTTCAAGGAATTTTTTGGTATAAGTCAAATTTGAACTGCAAGTGATTCGAATAATAGAATAAAATGAGTAGAAAAATGATATTCATGTTATTAAGTGTATTGTGAGGCCTTACCCGGGAAATTCTAAAAAAATCGAACATCTTGTTCAGGAAACACAACCACGAATGATGTGATGATATCATACGTGGAGGCTGTGGTAAAAAATTAAGAAGGTTTCATATAATTTGTCACGTACGATGTTTACAATCTAAAACATCTCAAAAGAAGAATCGTAGCGTTGAGAAGGATTCGGTAAGATTTGGAGTCAAAGTGACGGTCGAATTGGGGTTTGGCTTCAAAACTTTTTGTATAGGCAATACAGAACATAGATTGTTACATGCGAAATTTTGGTAAATTCTTGGATCCGATTGATAATTTTAATTTATTAAGTGCAATTATAGAATTTTAATTGATATAAATTAAATTTGAGTTGTAACTGCATAAAATAATGAAATAATATTCCTACAAAAAATTAAATATATATTGTTGAGTCAATTTGACAAGGTATTTTTAAAGTACATCGGAACATATTGAGAAAAACACGTCCCGAAAAAGAAGGAAAATTAAAAAAAATAGGTTTGTCGAGTGCCCATTATCTGGCACTTGACAAATCTGATGTTTGCCGAGTGCCAAACGTGGGACACTCGACAAACCCCCTCACTCGGCCCCACATACGCACAGTAGTTTAGGGTTTGAAAATGAAAAAAACAAAATATGTTTGCCGAGTGCCTGTGATTTAGCACTCGGCAAAGCCTACCGAGTAGGTTTGTCGAGTGTCCCACGTCTAGCACTCGGCAAACGCTAGCTTTGCCGAGTGCCAGATCATGGGCACTCAGCAAAGCGTCTTAATTTGGTAACAAGCGTCGGCACTCACACGCACTCTCTCACACACGCACTACCTCAGCCGCACCAGTCGCTCCCTCAGCCGCACCGTGCCCCTGCGCCGCCGGCACCTCCCACGCCCTTGCGCCGCCCCGTGCCCCGGCTGCCCCCTTGCGCCGCCCCGTCGCCGCCCCGTGCGCCGGCCATCCTGTGCAACGCCCCCCTTGCCGCCCCGTGTGCCCTTCCCCCGGCGCCCTGCCTCACGGCCGCCGACCCCTACGCCGCGCCCGCCGCCGCCTTGCCGTGGCCGCCGACCCCCTACCCCGATCCCGGCCCCGGCCCCGCCGCCCCCGCGTCTCGTCGAGATAAGCACCCTAGGATTCTAGAATGACTAATCATTGCAATATTATTTTGTAAGCACCCTGTTTAGCAACATTACCTTATCTGGTAACACTAACATAGCAATGTGGCAATGTTAGTACCCCATAATAGTTGATGGAAACATAAAGATGTTATTGCTCTTAAGGCACTACTTTCGCACTTTGCAGCTAATTGAATGCACTGGAATTTGATATCGATGTGTGAGCATCGTTTATTTAGCACAGCTCCATCTGTTTTCACGTGAAAAAAGTTACTTGTTTTGGAGCATATGATGTGTCAAATGATGATGAAGCTACATAGCAAATGCTAACATGATTTTGTCTACTGGGATTGAAAGCAGAATAAACTCTTGTGTACTTTCATATCTGAATCTGGATAGTACCTGCTATTGCTAGAGGTTCGATCAAATTTTATTCTTAGTTCGATCTAATGGTCTGATGAGTGTTATATTGCTGTGTATGTGGTTGTCGGCCATCGTGCCGTTGGTTTGTTGCAGGTTTTGGTTACCTCATCGTGCAGGGGAGGTGCTGCCGAAATTTATAATTGGCACTATTATGTTCGTTTGTTGCATGAGAGACTATTGCAAAGATCATTCCCCACCATCCTCGACTCGTCACTTTGCACGACAGCAAGGTGAGGCATCATACACCCCTCTTTTCGTATCATGTTCGTATATCACGTAACCTAGCTCGGCGTCTCCCGTTTAAACGAGCACGCCATCGACGCACGGCTGCTGCGGCAGTCCACCTGGAAGGCGCTCGGCCCGCACGGCGGCGCCAAGGAGGAGGAGGAAGGCTGCTGGTCCGGGAGCCAGAACGGGTAGGCGATGGTCAGGTTGCCACATGTCCTCGGCAGGCAGCTTATCGCGGCAGCAGGTGCTGCTGTCGCCACGTGGACTACTAGGAATGTTAGGGTGGAGAGGAGCCGCAGCCGAGCTTGCGCGGCCATGGCGGTGATCTGGCAATGATGGTTGGTGGTGGCCGTGGCGAGGAGACGAGGAGGATGGTGGAAGGTGTCTGTATACTTTGCACAAGAACAGGGGCCGTTTGACTTGTTTGAGCTTGGAGTTGAAAAATGAAAATAGATTTCATATTTGATTGCATGGTCTCCTTCTTCGACCTTTTGGGTGCACCGTGTACGTGTGAACTTGATTTGGCTTTTCCGTCGTTTTTATTGGCTGGATGCCTAGATGCGCATGCCCTGAGTGCGATTTGGTCCATGGCGCACGGCTACGTGTTGATTCGGTGATGCCAATGCTTGCGTCAGCAGATTTGTACGAGTACGCGACAGGTGAGCGCGCATTGCACCGTTCGTGGCTTCTTCACCAAAGGTTTTATGAACGGATAATTGTCGACATCCTCGTTTGCTGGCGGACATCTTGTTTTGAGCAGTTTGCCATAAGACACTTTGATTTTGTGAAATTAGGCCACAGGACACCGCGGACCGGTTGTAGCTGGTTGAGGAGAGAGAAATTTCGTTTTGAACATCCGGTGCCCCTGAGCCATAGTTGGGTCCGCCCCTCTCCCTCTCACTGACGAGCGGGCCCCACCTGCCATCTTCTTCTTTCTCCTTTTCTCCTCTTCTTCCATTGCTGAGCAGCAGCCACCGTCGTCGACCAGCCCTGGCCACGCAGGCGCACGGACGAGCTGGCGGAGCTGGTGGCGTGGGAGGCGGTGGTGCTGCTGGAGGTAGGCGACGACATGCGCCTCCTCCGCGACAAGCTCGCGTGGCTCCACACCTTCATCTGCGACGCCGACCGCCGCCGCCTCTGCGACGACGAGTTCGTCGCTATCTGGGTGTGCCAGACCCGCGACGTCGCCTTCGAGGCCGAGGACGCGCTCGACGACTTCCTCCACCGCGCCGAGCGGAGGCGGAGGAAGGCCGCGCTGGGTTCCGGGTGCGCCGTCGGTGGGTGGTGGTGGTGGCCCGCCCGGTGCACCAGCCAGGTCGCGCTCCGCCACGACCTCTCGGGGCGTATCTGCCAGATCAAGAATCGGCTCAATGAGATCTCCGAGAACCGCGCCATCTACAACATCGAGCACATGCCCGCGCCGGCATGGGCCGCCTCCTCCTCCACCACCACCCTCGTGGCCTGGTAGGAAGCAGTGTTTGCGGTCAATTTGAGTAGATTTCCTCCTGCAAAACTATCCATGCGGTGCTGCTGTCCTTCTCGTTTCATTCTTCGGCCAAGATTCGTCTGAATTTTCAAGCTGCTGTGCTAGCGAAGCGATCAATTTGATCGGATTTATTTGGTGCAGGGACGATCCGGAGGACACGGTTGGGCTGGACAAGTACAGCGACATGCCGGGATCCTGTGGTCCAAGGAGCTGGCCCCGCCGGTGAACGAGAAGCAGCACAGGGGCGGCAGCAGCAACAGCTGGTCTCGGATCATGTTGCGGGCCTTGGTGCGCTGCAGGTGGCCGAGGGGTTTGTGCGCCCGCGCTGTGGGATCACCATGGAGGAGGTCGGGCAGGGGTACCTCAAGGAGCTCATCTCCCGCTGCATGGTGCAGTTGGTGGACAAGGACGACTTCGGCGCCGTGCAGACGGTGGTGGTGCACGACCGCCTGCACGCCTTCAGCAGGACGAGGCGCAGGAGACCAGCTTCATCAAGAGCCACGACAGCACTGACGTGCTCACGCCGGCCACCGTGCACCGCCTCGCTGTCCTCAACACCACCATGGACAGGTACGTGCAGCTCCACCACGGACAGAAAAAGAGAAAGGAAGAGAGGAAGAAGAAAGCGGCGTAGGGGCAAGAATGTCATATCATTATTCTCTCTCCTCAATCGGCTGCAACCGGTCCACGGTGTCCTGTGGCCTAATTTCACCAAACCAGAGTGTCTTCTGGCAAAATGCTCCAAAGTGGGTGTCCGTCAGCAAAGGACCATCACTTTGGATGTCTGTTAGACAATTTTCCCTTTTATGAACGAAGAGAAGTTATGCTTGGGCCATCAGAGATATAGAAAAAAAGTTCATTCTTTCCCTGAATTATTGTCATAGTTTGTTTTCTCTTGAAATTAAAAAATCAAAATCAAGTGTCTTACATCTTATTAAACTCTCACCCAAGTTTGGAGTGGTTTTTGAACCCTGTTTCGTGTTTTTAGTAAAATAATAGTAAATACTTAATAAAGTTTTTAAAACACAAAAAAAATGTTACTAATAAGACTAAAAATTCAAAAAAATTCTAGAGATAGATTGGGATAGGACACATTCAAATAAAAAAAATTGAGCTCATGAAACATATTTAGAAACTTAAAAATACGTTTAGCTCTAGAAAAATCGAAAAATATCTAGAAAATTTTATAAGATTCCCAAAACATCATAATTGATGTATAGACATGGTTTAGAAACTTTGCATATAAAAAATATGAGATAAAACTAGCGTAAATGTAACATACATTAATACTGAATACATTTGCGTTGGTCACATATTACGTCTTTTGTTGTGGAAAGTTCTAAAAACATATTTACATATCAATTGGAATACTTTGAGAAATTTCTAGATTTTTTGGATACTTTCTTATTTTTCTACAGCTAAATCTATGTTTTGAAGCATCTAGAGATATTTTCATGAGCTCTAAATATTTTATTTGAATTTGTTGTATCCCAATCTATCACTATAGTTTTTGGATTTTTTTAAAAGCGTAGAGACATTTTTTGTACTTTAAAAATCTTATTATCAAGTATTTACTATTTTTAACATAAGAAGGATGAAACCACCTTCAAAACCACTTTAAATCATGGCAGGGAGTTAACTGAAATGGTTTTGAGAGTTCAGAAAGATAAGATGTCTGATTTTAGAGTTAGAGGATCTTTTTCCAAGATATAGCGAAGTATGTTGTGGGTCTTACACACGCTATTTTTGTGGTGGAAGGATCCCAGGCCTGAGGACCGCACGAGTCAGTCCGGCCCATTGAAGAAACTGGGCCGGAGGCACAATGATAGTCAGACTGAGGAATTTCAATCCTTCCAACCCATGTCTGGGCGAGATGTGCATGGGCTTCAAAGCCCGTAAATGGTGCGTTGCGCTCCGCCCTGCGCCGAAGGCAGCTGATATGCCCCGTCCCGGCGGCTCCTGCCGCCGCCGTCAGACGCGGCGGCAGCACCACAGCGCGACTTCGGCTAATTACGTTGCTATGCAGGAAATTGTTGAGCAAACGATATTCCGATCCACCCCCGCGTGGCCGCAGTCTCGGTGCCGGTGCCGGTGCCCGGTGGTGATGGGGTCACCGATGGATGACGCATCCCGCGCCCACGGCCCGCCTGTCAAAAATGGAGGTATGTGCTTGCTTATTCACTGGCTGTTAACAACTGGATGGATCTCTGTCGGGTACACACTTGTATCCCTAATGATACGTAGATCTAGCACATATTGTGGTTTGCTAAGCTGTCGCCCTGTGGATCAATTTGATTATTAAGTTCTCAGGCCGATAGAAAACGTGTTCTCATTTTCAATGGAATCGTCACGAGTACACTAAGGGCTCCTTTGGGAGACCCAATCCACGAGGGTTTCCCCGCGTTTTTCCCCAGGCCAGGCCCCCGCACGGATTTCGGCCACGGGGAGAAGCCCCCTTGCATTTGGAAGCCCATCACCCGGGAGAGGTCGACCCGAGCCCCATACTTTCCACGGGGTGGCTTGTCCCGCACCCAGGGGTCCGGGCGGCTCTTCCCCGACCCGAGCGAGGGCGACGAAGAGGAAGCACCGCCGCCGCCGTCCTCCCGCCACCGAGCTCACCCCCCATCGCCGCCACCGAGCTCACCCCCCATCGCCGCCACCACCACCGAGCTCGCCGCCCCCGCTGCCGCCGAGCTCGCCCCCGCCGGCTTCTTCCTTATCTCCGTCGCCGGCCTCGCGACTGCCACCACCACCGTCCGAGCTTAAAGATCTACTCCAAGTTAGCTCCAAGAACCCGTCCAAGTTCCTCACCTAGATCTAGTTCGAATTGAAGTGTGCACGATGGATGCACTAGCCAGATCCAAAGCGCAATACCATTTAAATTGCATACTATTTCTGGATCATCGTTTCTACGTGCAATCTGCAGTTAATAACGAGTAAACGAGGCTAGGCTAGCTAGACTCAAAGTGGAGCTGGATCTGGATCTGTTAAATTATCCTAGAAAAATCAAGGATCTACCATTTTTTGCTATAATGTACTGGTTGACCAGTGAATGAATGTTGTTCTATTTATTGCTGTAATACCAACAGATTTACCTATAGTTAAAATTAGATATTTGCTTGTCATTTTAGTTTGCTTCATCTACAATTCTCAGTTGACAGATTGTTTTCAGGGTGAAGACAAGAAGTGACCCAGCAAGTTCCACTTCCTTGCTTAGCAGCTTAGGTACTTTTGTTTGTCTCTGTTACTTATTCCTCTCCCTTGTTCATTTGAGCTGTGATTCCATGAATTTGCTGCTTTGGTTATATGTTTCAATTTTGGTAATATTTGGACGACATCTGGTAATATTTGTCAACAAAGCAGAGGATCTGGTAATATTTTGATGACATTTGTGAATTATGGTTAAAAGAAAAACATTGGCAAAGACCTGCTGCTAGTTGCTAGAAGGCATAATGCACTCATACACCAGTCTTATGTCTGCCTGCATTATATAGAACAAAAAAGAAGCCTGCATCATATAGAACAAAAAGAATAATGAGACCTGTCCAGGACATACTAATCTTTTGCAGTGTGTTACATACTCACATAGTCACATGTCTCAGTAATTAGTACTTTGTTATGTCTTCTGCAACTTTGAATAAGCTTTTATTGAAATTATATTAACATCTACAAGTTGGAACGAATGAACTATCATAAATGCTTCTGTGTTTTAATAGAACTCAAGCGGTTCATATTTTCTGGGTCAACAAATAAAACATCTTTAAAGTTATATAATTTTGTTTATTTTCTGTAAACTTGGTCAAATTCTGAGTATATATGATGAAATCCTAT